GTGGTCTAGGAGTAGAATGAAAGTATATTTCATAGAGCTGACTGTTCCGTGGGAGGCCTTAGTTGAAGAAGCATATGACAGGAAAAAGCTCAGGTATGTAAAGTTAGGGGCAGAAGCAGAGCAGCGAGGATGGAAAGTTAGGATTTGTCCAGTGGAAGTAGGATGTAGAGGATTTGTAGCAAGGTCTGTTGTTTCTTTGGTGAGGGAGTTAGGAGGAAGTGGACAGAGTGTGAGGAAAATAGTAAAGGACATGTCAGATGAGGCAGCAAGATCCAGTCAGTGGATTTGGATGAGAAGAAATAATGGTAGCTGGGGGCCCAGCACTTAGGATAGACAGACTCTTAGGAGAAGCAAGGAAGAAATCCAGGAAGAGGAAGTGTTTTTAAGTGGGGGGTGTGGCCTGTGTGAGCCTCTTTGAGACCATGCGGCTAGTCCAGGTGAGGTGGCCTGTATTGTTTGTTTGCATTGTTTGAATTGGTTTGTAGTGTGCTTATTGCTTTGTCTTGGCTGTTTAGGTGAGGTTTGTTTTTTTAGGTGAGTTGTTGGAGAGTAGGGGAGTGGGGGGAGTGGGGGGGGGTAGAGCACAGCCTAATCCGGCGGGGGGAGAGTTTAGCTCAAAAAGCCATTCTCCTTGACTCTACCTCCCTCATTCAAAATGGCCGCCACTTTCTCCAACTGGTTAGGGGAGTTTGTTTGCTGAATCTGCTAGTGTGTTTTGTCCGAGTCGATGATGTTGTTTGTGGTAGCATAGGCAAGAAAATAGTCATGGTGTGAGGAGCAGTGATGGCTGGCATTAGGGGTGTAGCGGACACTGGTGGACGCCAGTGACCGGACGTTCAAGATTTAGGGTAAAGACACTGGGGTGCTCTCCTCCTTGAACCGTCACCTTACCGTGGTGGAGGAGTTTGAGAGCCCTAATGACCCTAGGAGCTATGTTGTCGGGGGCATTTTGCCCCTGGTAGGGTCTCCCAAGGCAGATTGGTCCTAGGTGAAGGGCCAGACGAAGAACGGTTCAGAAGATCCTAATGATGAGTAATATCAAGAACCCGAGTACCCGGCCCGGAGGGACACCGGGGCCCCGCCCTGGAGCCAGGCCTGGGGTTGGGGCCCGAGGACGAGCCCCTGGTGGCCGGGCCTTAGCCCATGGGGCCCGGCCGGGCCCAGCCCGAACCGGCTACATGGGTTCGTCTCCCAGTAGGCTCACCACCTGCAGGAAGAATCAGAGGGATCCGGTGCATTGTGGTTTGGGCAGCAGACCAAGGCGGGGGCCTTGGCGGTCCGATCCTCGGTTACGGAAACTGGTTTTTGGAACATGGAACGTCACCTCTCTGGCGGGGAAGGAGCGGGAGCTTGTGGAAGAGGTCGAGCGATACCGGCTAGATATAGTCGGCCTCACCTCGACACATAGCGTCGGCTCCGGAACCCAAGTCCTTGAGAGGGGCTGGTCTCTCCTCTTTGCTGGAGTTGCTCCGGGTGAGAGGCGGAGGGCCGGGGTGGGCTTCTTGGTGTCCCCCAGGCTCTCTACAAGTACGTTGAAGTTTACCCCGGTGGACGAAAGGGTTGCGTCCCTGTGCCTCCGGGTCGGGGATCGGGTTCTGACTGTTGTCATCGCTTATGCGCCGAACAGCAGTTCAGACTACCCGCCCTTTTTGGAGTCCTTGGGACGGGTGCTGGAAAGTGCCCCGAAAGGGGACTCCATTGTCCTACTGGGAGACTTCAACGCTCACGTGGGCAATGACAGCGTGACCTGGAAGGGTGTGGTGGGGAGGAACGGCCTGCCCGATCTGAACCCGAGCGGCGTTCAGTTATTGGACTTCTGTGCTAGTCACAGCTTGGCCATAACTAACACCATGTTCAAACATAAGGATGTCCACAGGTGCACTTGGCACCAGGACACCCTAGGTCGCAGGTCTATGATCGACTTTGTAGTCGTATCATCAGACCTGCGGCCGCATGTTTTGGACACTCGGGTAAAGAGAGGAGCAGAGTTGTCAACCGACCACCACCTGGTGATGAGTTGGATCAGATGGCGGGGGAAGACGCCGCGCAGACCTGGCAGGCCCAAACGGGTTGTGAGGGTCTGCTGGGAAAACCTGGCGGAAGAACCCGTCAAGATGATTTTCAACGCACACCTCCGGCAGAGTTTCGACCGCGTCCCGAGGGCAGTGGGGGACATTGAGTCCGAATGGGCCTTGTTCCGCTCTGCTATTGTTGAGGCGGCTGTTGCAAGCTGCGGCCGCAAGGTAGCTGGGGCCAGTCGTGGCGGTAACCCCCGTACCCGCTGGTGGACACCGGCGGTGGGGGAAGCCGTCAGGCTGAAGAAGGAGGCCTACAGGGCGTGGTTGGCCTGTGGGTCTCAGGAATCAGCTGACTGGTACCGGCGGGCCAAGCGGAGTGCAGCTGCGGCAGTTGCTGAGGCAAAAACTCGGACGTGGGAGGAGTTCGGTGAGACAATGGAGGAAGACTATCGATCGGCTCCAAAAAGGTTCTGGCAAACCGTCCGGCGCCTCAGGGGGGGAAGGCGGCAACTCGCTCACACTGTTTACAGTGGGGGCGGGGAGCTGCTGACGTCAACTGAGGATATAGTGGGACGGTGGAAGGAATACTTTGAGGAGCTCCTCAATCCCACCAACACGTATTCCGTAGAGGAAACAGAGCCAAGAGACCTGGGGATGGATGATCTAATCTCCGGGGCAGAAGTCGCCGACGTAGTGAAACAACTGCGCGGTGGCAGAGCCCCGGGGGTTGATGAGATCCGCCCTGGGTATCTCAAGGCTCTGGATGTTGTAGGGCTGTCTTGGTTGACACGCCTCTGCAACATTGCGTGGACATCGGGGGCAGTGCCTTTGGAGTGGCAAACCGGGGTGGTGGTCCCCATCTTTAAGAAGGGTGACCAGAGGGTGTGTTCCAACTACCGTGGAATTACACTCCTCAGCCTCCCTGGTAAGGTCTATGCCAGGGTACTGGAAAAGAGGGTCCGATCGATAGTTGAACCTCAGATCGAGGAGGAGCAATGTGGTTTTCGTCCTGGGCGTGGAACTGTGGACCAGCTCTTTACCCTCGCTAGGGTGCTGGAGGGAGCATGGGAGTTTGCCAATCCAGTCCACATGTGTTTTGTGGATTTGGAGAAGGCTTACGACCGTGTTCCCAGGGGCACCCTGTGGGGGGCACTCCGGGAGTATGGGGTGGATGGCCCCTTGTTAGTGGCCATTAAATCCCTGTACCAAAGGAGTGTGAGTCTGGTTCGCGTAGCCGGCAGTAAGTCGGACCTGTTCCCGGTGAGGGTTGGACTCCGCCAGGGCTGCCCTTTGTCACCGGTTCTGTTCATAACTTTTATGGACAGAATTTCTAGGCGCAGCCGGGTGGTGGACGGGTTTGGTTTCGGTGGCGGGAGGATCTCGTCTCTGCTTTTTGCGGATGATGTGGTCCTCCTAGCTTCATCGAACGCCGACCTTCAGCTCTCGCTTGGGCGGTTCGCGGCCGAGTGTGAAACGGCTGGGATGAAAATCAGCACCTCCAAGTCTGAGGCCATGGTTCTCAGCCGGAAACGGGTGGATTGCCCGCTTCAGGTCGGGGGGGAGGCTTTGCCTCAGGTGGAGGAGTTTAAGTATCTCGGGATCTTGTTCACGAGTGAGGGTAGGATGGAGCGGGAGATCGACAGGCGGATTGGGGCGGCGTCAGCAGTGATGCGGACGCTGAATCGGTCCGTTGTGGGGAAGAGGGAGCTAAGCCGGAAGGCGAAGCTCTCAATTTTCCGGTCGATCTACGTTCCGATCCTCACCTATGGTCATGAGCTTTGGGTAATGACCGAAAGAACGAGATCGCGAGTACAAGCGGCCGAAATGAGTTTCCTCCGCAGGGTGGCCGGGCTCAGCCTTAGAGATAGGGTGAGGAGCTCGGTCATCCGGGAGGGACTCGGAGTAGAGCCGCTGCTCCTCCATGTCGAGAGGAGCCAGTTGAGGTGGTTCGGGCATCTAGTGAGGATGCCTCCTGGACGCCTCCCTGGGGAGGTGTTTCGGACATGTCCCACCGGGAGGAGACCTCGAGGTCGACCAAGGACACGCTGGAGGGATTATATCTCTCGGCTGGCCTTGGAACGCCTCGGGATTCTCCCGGAGGAACTGGTGGAAGTGGCTGGGGAGAGGGCCGTCTTGACCTCTCTGTTGAGGCTGCTGCCCCCGCGACCCGGATCCGGATAAGCGGGAGACGACGAGACGAGACACTGGGGTGCTCTGGAGTATATGGAGAGCCTCCCATGTCCACTTTCCCATCATCAAACTATCACTTGGATAGAACACAGGGACGAAATGAGGTCCCCTCACCAATAGACTAGCTTTTAAAGATACCATCGGAATTTATGGCTAGCTCATGGAACTCATCCTGAACCAACACTCCTGCAACAAATGGGAGACAACCACAACTCTCCCTCACAGACTGATGCATCCCTGACACTCATCTGGGATTGATAGGTGGGTGCCACCTCTTATCAAATAACATAAAAAGGAACATTTAGCCCATCAAGGTGCTAAACCATCAGGATTCACACTTTTGACTCATTTCTCTCTCACAAGAGAAAACAACACTCTCATCTTTAACACCCTTTCTTACCCAAAGGGGGGTCTCATGAGGAACCACAGACCCCCGCCATAAACCATCCTACATTCCAAGCCGGACTGATGAACTATTCCACATTTATAAAGCATGATTGAAATGTCATTGAACTGAATGTCCTATCACCAGGTAATTCATGCAATATTACTCTGGAAAGATTTCCATAAAGTATGATCCAATGTTCATTTCTGGGGGTTAGCCCTATGTTCCCACAGCCCTATGTTCCCACATTTCTAAGAATGTTTTGAAAATTAGGCCCTATTTTCCCACAGTCTTATATGTTCCCATAAGCCCATGTCCACACTAACCCGGGTTCTAATATACACCTCCTGGTGCAACTTAGACACATCATCAGTGTTGGATCCTGGGGTCACGGGGTGTTTCGGGTCTCACAACAGACACCCTCGCCCAGGCAACCCAGCCAGGGTGATCAGTCTCGGCTTGTGTCTAAGTAGCACGTGTGGTCCACGGATCGCACCGCTTGATCCACAGCCATCTGGACGCCTTTTCTGCTGCGTCACACCCAGCATCTTGAGTGCCTTGATGAGAGACTGGCCGGCGAATCCTCTGCATCCGACCTCAATGGGATTGCATCGGGTTCTCCATCCCCTGCTACGGCATTCACCTGCCAGCTCCTCATACTTGGCCCTCTTCCTCTCAAAGGCCTCCTCCATCCGGTCTTCCCAGGGAACAGTCAACTCCAGCAGGACCACTTGTCTCGTTGTTTCTGACACCAGGACCATGTCTGGCCTGAGTGTGGTCGCTGCGATGTTCTCCGGGAACTTAAGCTGTCTCCCTAGGTCGACTTTCAGCTGCCAGTCCCGAGCTGTGGCCAGCAGCCCCCCTGCTTGACTCCGGCACTGCTGCGGCTTCTCCCCAGCCCTAACAAAGGCGATGGACTGCCTTGTTGGTTGTTGGCCTTTACTGGTGGAGATCCCTGTGCTGATGGCCTCTGCGATGACCCGCAACACTTGGTCATGGCGCCAGCGGTAACGCCCCTCTCCCAGAGCCCTAGGGCAGCAGCTCAGGATGTGCTCCAGCGATCCAGTTCTTTGGCAGAGAGGGCACAGTGGATTCTCGGCCAAGCCCCAGCGGAAGAGGTTGGATGGGCTCGGGAGGACGTCGTACACCGACTGAATGAGAAACTTGATCCGGTGTGGCTCAGATCGCCATAGCTCTGTCCACGATACCTTCCGGTCAGCTGCCTCCTCCCATCGGGTCCACGCCCCCTGTTGCCGCATCCCTACTGTCCTACTGCAGCGGGCTTCCTCCGCCCCTGCTCGGACCTCCTCCTGGATCAGCTGACGCCTTTCCTTCCCCTGGGCCTTGTTGTAGGACGGTCTTGGGTTGCTCCCAAGTCCTGCCCGTCCAGATGCCACTGTACCCACCAGCTAACTGTGCCGCAAGCGGGACTCAGCCTGGTCGACTGCGTCTTGGGCCTTCCACTTCCTGCCGGTCCTCACTTCAATGCCAGCCGAGGAGACTTTGATGTCACTAGAGTCCCTATACAGCAGCACCTCTCTTGCTCGGGTAACCATAAACTCCTCCGTCAGACTACTGAAGGGCAGTTTCAGCTTGTTGTTCCTCCCGTACAAGGCGATGCTGCTGAGGCTTCGTGGTAGGCCCAACCACTTCTGTAGGAAAGAGCTTACCTTCCTCTCGAAGCACTCGACGGTGGTCATCGGCACATCATAGACCAGCAGTGGCCAGAGGAGTCGTGGCAAGTTGTCATGTTGGTAGATCCAGGCCTTAAACTTGCCTGGTAGCCCTGACTTATCCACTGCTGTCAGCCAGGTTCCCAACTCCTCTGATGTTGCTTGGAGTGCAGCGGTGTCCTTCAGGGTGCAGTCATAGATCTTGCCCAGACTCTTAACTGGCTTCTCTCCCACAGATGGAATCTGGGTGGCCCCTATTGAGAAGCGAAACCGGTCTGTAACCTTCCCCTTCTTCACCACCAGGGACCTGGACTTGGCTGGCTTGAAGTTCATTCGGGCCCAGCCAATGAGTTGCTCAAGGCCTTGGAGGATCCATCTACAACCCGGGACTGATGTTGTAGTCACTGTCAGATCATCCATAAATGCTCTGATAGGGGGCTGCCGCATACCTGAGTTGGTGAGTGGGCCTCTGCACTCCACCTCTGCTGACTTCACCAACATATTCATGGCCAAGGCAAACAATATCACAGAAATGATGCATCCTGTGATAATGCCCTTCTCAAGCCGATGAAACGTGGATGTTACTGTTCCAGAAGTGACTCTCAAACTGAAGCAGCTGTAGTAGTCCAGTATGAGGTCCTTGATCTTGCCTGGAACGTGGTGCCGGTCGAGCGAGGTTTCCACCAGCTTGTGTGGAATGGACCCGTAGGCGTTGGCAAGGTCGTGCCAGAGGACTGCCAGGTCTCCTTTGCCCTCCCGTGCCTCCCGGATCAGCTGGGTGACGACTCCTGTATGCTCAATGCACTCGACGCTGAGGAGCGAGATGATCCTGAACTGCTCGATGGTAGCTGAGTTCTCCTCCTTTGGAATCCAGACACCCTCTGCGTGTCTCCACTGCCAGGCCACCCTCCCCCTTCTCCAGATGACTTTGAGGATCCTCCATAGTCGCTTCAAGAGTCTGGGGCATCTCTTGTAGAAGACGTATGGCACTCCGCTGGGGCCTGGTGCTGAACTGGATCTAGCTGCCTTGACAACCTCCTCAACTTCTTTCAAAGTTGGCTCCTTGGTGTTAAATGCTGAGGTGGGTTCTGGCGGAGTTATCAAGGTCCTGCATGGCCCAAGCTCTTCCACTCTTGCGCTGTCACTGTAGGTGGCACTGAGGTACTTGTTAACATCTTCAGTGCAGGCAAGGTGGCCACTTCTTTTCTGGCCTAGGATCTTCTTGGTGAAACCAAAGGGATTCGAGATGAAGGCTGCACGTCTCCTGGCTCTCTCCCTACCCCTCCTCCTATGCCACTCGGCTCGACGGAGGGTGGTAAGTTTTTTCCTCAGGGTATTACGGAGCTCTGCCAGCCCGGCCTTCTCCTCCTCCTTTGCCTGCTTAAACTGCCGTCCAAGCAGTCTAAGTTCCTGCCGAAGCTGACGGATCTTCACCTCCCGTCTGTTTGGTTCCCCTAGACCTCTGGTTGCACATGTGGTCCACGGATCGCCCCACTTGATCCACAGCCATCTGGACGCCTTTTCTGCTGCGTCAGTGATGTTCTTGATGGCTCTTCTGTTCTGCAGTCCCTTCACACCCAGCATCTTGAGTGCCGTGATGAGAGACTGGCCGGCGAATCCTCTGCACCCGACCTTGATGGGATTGCATCGGGTTCTCCATCCCCTGCTACGGCATTCACCTGCCAGCTCCTCATACTTGGCCCTCTTCCTTTCAAAGGCCTCCTCCATCCGGTCTTCCCAGGGAACAGTCAACTCCAGCAGGACCACTTGTCTCGTTGTTTCTGACACCAGGACCATGTCTGGCCTGAGTGGGTAATATTTATCCGGTTAGCGCTTCCGTCCACATTAGAATGGTGAATTCCGTAACTGAAAACGATGGTTTCCAAAAATGATCGCTGAGGTGGATAAATCTGAAGACGCCGTCGAACGTGGATGCAAAGCGTTCTGAAAGGGTATAAAAGGGGAATATAGGGCTGTGGGAACATAGACACGCTCCCCATTTCTGTAGCCCAAAGGGAGGCTGAGATATGTTTTATCAGTTTTAAGGTAAATATCCACCACGTTACAATACTGTCATCTAAAGACCACTCTGGATCCCTTTTTCCTCTAGGGAATTAACTGATGTACAGTACATGGCTTCATTTTTGAGTTTCCACACACAGAGGTGTTAATGAAGCAGAGGGTAAAGACATTCCATGGTTTTTGTTGACAGAACTATGAAAAAGTCTGAAGTCTTTTATTCTTTATGCCAGGGGTATTCAATTAAAATTCAAAGAGGCCCAGTTACAAAAATGTCCCCCCAGCAAAGGTCCAAATCTTATATTGTCACTCGAAATAGTGTACCCTGATGTAAATAAAAAACAACATATGTACTTTTCTATATCATTTATTGTCAAATTTCAAGTGTTTTCAATATACTTTAAACATACTGATAAGTCTGAACTTGTATGGCACTTGAATGGAAAACATGACTGTAGTTGTCTTTACTACACTTCAAGTAATTGAATTTCTTCTGAGTAAAATAAATAAAAAGTGCAAACACAGCTTTGAGCAGCCTGAACTTAGGGTAATGTAAAAACATTCAGAATCTTTTGAATAAAATAAAAGTGCATCTTTAAGAAAAAATGTAAACAAAAGACCTTTGAGCTGCCCACTCCCTTTTTTAAACATGTATTAACTACATTTAAAATAAAATAACACAGGAACCTTAATGCCTACATTTCAAGTAAAATAGAACAGGGCAGAATTTACTGAATAAAAGAAAAGTGCAGAGCTTTGAGCGGCTCCCTTTCTCCTCTCTCCTCTCCTTCCTCCCTTTCCAACTTTCTTTCCTAGTGAGAGAAATGGGCATGTAACTTTCCTGCCAGCAGTTTGAATCTTGGCTTAAATGGGGTTAGTGCCATTCTCATGCTCATGTGGAGATGCTCATTGGTAAGCCTGGAACGGTACTTTGTTTTAATAATGTTCATCGTAGAGAAAGCTGTCTCTCAGCTGTAAGTTGATCCAAACATGGTTAAGGTGTGTAGTGCTACTTTGGTTAGAGCAGGGAAAATGGTTTCAGGCACAATCTGTAACCAGAAAGTAGCAGAGTCAGTTGTTTCAAAATGCTCTCTCAGAGCAACATCTGCTTGCAGATCAGTGAGCTCTAACTTTAAAGATCCAGGATGTGCCCACTTGAAGGTCTGTGTCACCTCCTTTGAAAATACTCTGATTTCTCTGATAAGGAATGGATTCTCGATTAGCAGGAGGAGCTGGTGTCCAAGGTTGAAGCTGTCAAATCAATGACAGAAGTTTCCAATCAGCTTGATTTTATTGGCTTGGCTATTGATGACATTTCAGTCGTATTAACTAAATTAGCTGCGCATGCACGAATGATTAATTTTTTTATTAGGCCTAATATTATAATTATAATATAATTTTCACGGGTCCGGGCAGAACTGTCACTGGGTCCGTGCCCGGACCGCGGTCCGCCATTTGGTGATGCTTGATATAGGGCGTTGCTACGCCCATGTTTGGCCTTTCAAACACCTGTATGATCAACATCATGGTGAACATACAGCGTTTTCATCATCTGAGGTGAGTGAGTGTACTTAGGTGGATCAATGTATGTCTACCGGAGAGCAAGACAACCAAGTGTGCACCCATGATCGCGCTAATGAAAAGGAGATCATTGCGATGGCATTGTAGTAATTACTCAGCAAACCAGGAAGCGGTGTGCATTGTCGCTTGCAGCCAGTGACTGAGATAAAGAGATATATGTGTCGCTAAGCACTGCCTGCAAGCACTGACAGGGCTGTTGGAACAGCTCTGTCACAAGTCCATATGATGAATGGGTGCTGGGCTCCCTCTAACCAATGTCTCATCTTTTGTACAGCCAGAACCACTGCCAGCAGCTCCCGATTACCAGCGTCATAATTCCTCTCAGCAGCTGAAAGGCAGAGGGAGAAGAAAGCACAGGGGTGTAGCTTGTTGTTCTCTGGATAGCGCTGTGAAAGGATAGCACCAACACCTGAATCTGAAGCATCTACTTCCACAATGAATTGTAACTTAGGGTCTAGGTGTGTTCCTTAAGCCAAGTGAATGCAGTCTCAGCTTTGGTGGTCCATGAGCGTTGCACAGATCCAGTTCAGAGAAAACTGTGGCTTGGTGTGAGGGAATAAAAGCAGAGTTGTTGGGACTCAATCATTCAAGAGACCAAATGTTTCTTTGCTCCACTGGACAAAGGAACTCACACTCCACAGTTCCTCACCGTTCACACCTGGGGACAACCCTTCCCCCCACGGACCTTACTGGCCAGCCAGTGTGGGTCAGTGTGTGACATGTGACCCCCAAGTCACCAAACAAAACCAGATCTCTGGCCCTCTTCTCGCTCTCTTCTCCTTTGGCTTGCTCTGGAGAGCAGCTCCAGCTCTCTCCTTTCAGTTCTTCAAAGGGCAACAAGGCCCCAGCCCAGGTCAGCCCTGCTACCTGAGAAACCAGCTCTCGCCGGCCCGCTACCAGCAGCCTGCAAACACTCTTCTCCTCAATAGCAGCGACCTGCTTCGGATTAACTGTGAGTGAACCAAGTTCTCTTCAGAATCAGCAGCTACGACACAAGGCCAGCTGGTTTTCCAAGCAACAGGAGTTGTAGCAGAGTTAGCATGGAACAGCTAACTCTGTGAGGAGAACAAAGGAGATAACTGCAAAGTAACACAGCCAGACAGGACTTTACTCCACTAGGAAATCTCCTAACTCACTGGACTTTACACCAACACTGGAAAGGACCTCTTTGCTGGTTTCCAGGACTGGGTAACGTTAAGTGAATGGGCCTAACCTTTCCCAGCACAGCATAGCACCGCACAGCATAACTAAGCACCAGAAGTCTTAACTTTGTTAATGTACTGGTTTATTGATGTCTTGTTGCTGTAATGTGCTTAGGTTGTGGTCAGTCATACAGTTAATCAGGTACACGTATGTTCACACACATAGTAGTACGTCTCAGTTCTAGAACCTGCATGAAGCTAACCTCCTCCCTCTAACCTGGTACCTTTAGATAACATGAGCTAGGCCAGGGGTCTGCAACCTTTATTATCAAAAGAGCCATTTCACCCCCTCTTCCGCCAAAGAAAAATAGTCTGGAGCCGCAAAACATAATACAGCTTATAAAATTTTAAAAGTTTTAATCTTATTTTAAATTTTACAAACAGAAGTGCAGTGTGCATGTGTAGGCCTACTCTGAAATAAATTAAACAGTGAACTGTGCAGACCTATTTGAGTCCTTCCTATATTTGTGTAAAATTAAAATAAAAACTAGCCCACTTTAATATAAATAAAACATTTAGGTGCAGCTTAGCAGCTTTAAAAAAGTAAACATAAAATTAGGAACGTTTGTGACAAGTCCATTTCAGTGTGCTCTCATCCTCTTCGGGTTTCGTTCTCAGCCAGCAATCAATTGGAGGCACCTGAACATACAAAAAATCTACATCAGCTCTGGGTCTGAAATAAATTTTTTTTTTTCTTTCTGAAAAATAATAGCCTATTAAATGCTATTGTTCTCACCTGTTTAATGTGACTTCTGTTTCTGAAGTTCGCTGCAGATCATCCCTATGTCGGGGCTGTAAGATGTGACTTTGAGCTTCAAACAGGACTGGAGGCTCTCATTTGTGAGGCGGGAGCGATGTTTGGACTTTATGAAGTTCATGCTTGAGAAAACTTGCTCGCACAAGTATGTTGAGCCAAAGATGGACAGGACTCCAAATGCATATTTTTTCATGTTCATATATGTTTTGGGAATGGCAATCCATGTGTCAAAAACAAGTTTGTCGGGTTTGGGGAGGTTTTCAATGTCGCTCCATTTGTGCTCTTTAGCGAGAGTAGCCTTCTGACGGGCGACTTCTTCCAGATCCGCTGTCAGGCATTTGAACTTGGACACCCATAAATCTTTATCCGCCAGTTCAATTTCCAGATCGGGCTTACTTACTCCTGTGAATGTGAATGTGTTCAGCAGGGATGGGTCGATGTCCAGGGGTGTGACAGGGAAGGAGAGAGTGTTTTTTTCCTTTCTGAACTCACTGAATCTTTCTCCAAATGCAGCTTGCATTGTAATAATTGCACGGTGGAAATAATCACAATTTATGTGATTGTTCACTTCTTCGCTGTACATCCCTGGCAAACACTGTCATCTTGCGCTCAAACGCCAAAACATCTTCCAGCATCTGCAGGGCCGTGCTTCCCTTTCCCTGGAGATTTTTATTCAGCGTGTTTAAGTGACTTGTCATATCTACCAGGAAGTAAAACTTTTGCAGCCAATCGAGGTCTCCCAGTTCGGGATAGCTGAGGCCTTTGCTTTCCAAGAAGGTTTTCACATGCTCCAGACAGGTAGCGAAGCGTTTCAGCACCTCTCCCCTGGACAGCCACCGGACTCTGTTGTGCAGCAGGAGATCCGAATATGCGCTGTCGACTTCTTCTAACAATGAACAAAACTGTCGGTGGTTTAACCCGTTTGCAATTATTTTGTTCACTATCTTAATAACGAGGGTCATCACGTCCACACATTCAGGGGGGAACGTTTGAGCGCACAGTGCTTCTTGATGGAGTATGCAATGAAATGTCATCAGCTCTCGATCCAGTGACTTTTGAAGTAAATTCACAAAGCCCTTCTGTGCTCCCCTCATACTGGGTGCCCCATCAGTAGACACTGACACCAGGTGAGTGGTGTTTATTCCTTTGGCTTTTAGACAACTCACAACAGCCTCACAAATGTCCTGTCCCCGCGTTTGGCCCTTTAGCGGTATGAGTTGAATCAGTTCTTCCTGCGG